CCCCCTTGCCCTTTCCCCTCTAGCACAGGGCGCTCGTTTTTTTCCCTTTATTGTTCACTCTTTATCGACGTAATCATTGAAAATAAACAAAACACACGGGCAGCCAGTCGACCCGACGCATGTCGCGCGCACTGCGTACTTGTCGCCGTTTTGCAACGCACGGGTCAGTGTTTTTCGTTCCCCGCATGACGCGTGGGGACGGACCCCGCAGGCCCTGACCCTGGTCGCTGCAGCGGGCCTTGTGTGCGCCAACCTAGTGCTGGCCCCGCGGTGTGGAGTTTCCTAACGGCGATCGCGTCTCTGATAGTGCATCAAATAATAACATGTCGAGTCGTAATACGTTTAACATTTGCGATGTGGCATTGGAGAAAAACAATGCGCGTTTGAATTGCGTAGCCCTCGGGAAATCGGGAAATCGCAGACTGTTCCTCCTTTAAACCCAAGAAGAGAGCCATTTCATTTGGAGATACTAAAATCTGAAGGCCGTCAGAAAGGGTGGGGTTATCTGCGCCGTCCCTTTTCTCTGAGTTTGCATACTCGCCTCTTGTGGCCATAAGGCGCCATGGCGAGCGACGGTAGGCAAGCCCACCCGCACGCCTGAATCCGGTACAGTGTAACCGCAGGAGGAAGAAAAATGACGTCACAGATCAACCACCCTGTGGTTTCAGAATTTCATTCCGGTCTTAGGATTGGTGTTACTAAGGGGGATCGGTAATTGGTTTGCCGACGTGGCCATCATTGGATTGGGGCCGAGAAATAACGATGGAAAGATTTGTCTCTTTTTGTGACTTGCGCCGTACCCTTTGTGATGCGCGTGAGACGGTACGCGGAGAGGTTGACACCGGCGCCTGTGTTGCTAGGTGGAGCTCTCTCGGCACTGGGGCTACGACGCGGAGCTTCACCACGTGACCACCGAGGACGGTTACATCCTGGGCATCCACCGCATCACGGGGCCGTCGTCGTCGACGCCCTCCTGGTCGGTGGAGCGGGCGGACGACGGGCTGGGCAACGGCCTGGACGGTGTGGACGGCAGCGAGGTCGGCGACAAGCGGCGAAGCATCCGACAGCAGCAGAAGCCCGTCGTGATTCTGGCGCACCCTCTCCTGTCGTCCTCCTCGGACTGGATCATCCTTGGCCCCGGGAAGGCCCTCGGTCAGTACAACTGCCTCTTGCAAGCGTAAAGTCTCTACCAAAGCAAGCGCCGTCAAAATAAGTTCCTCTTCTCAATTTAAACAGCCTACCTCCTGGCCGATGAGGGCTTCGACGTGTGGATGATGAACGTGCGAGGCAACACTTACTCGCTCAACCACACGACGCTCAGCACCAAGTCTGCCGCGTTCTGGGACTTTACGTAAGTAAAGTGTCACCTGGAGGGGCGCTGGTTTGCGGCGTCACGAACATCCGCCGATGGCAGTCAGTGATGGTGGGTGATTCTTATCCGCAGGTATCACGAGCACGCGACTCAGGACTTGCCGGCCCTCATCCAGTACGTGGTCCGAGAGACGGGCGAGCAGCAGTTGCAGTACGTGGGCTTCTCGATGGGGACCACCATCATGTTCATCATGGCCTCAGAGCGCCCCGACATGGCCAGGCATATCCGCATGTTCACCGGCCTCGGCCCAGTCACCAGCCTTGTGCACACCAAGTCCACGACCTTCCGCGTCCTGGCGCACACCACCCCCGTCCTCATGGTGAGCGGCAGATTTTAAAGTCCATCGTACGCCGCAGCTATGTGCTTTTGGGTTTACCTGACTGACGGCTAAATCTGCCATGTCTAGCGGACCTCGGCCTTTTTCGGCATCCACTCGTTCCTCCCCTCAACCGCGGCGTTGCGCACGGCCGGGGAGATCTTCTGCTCCGACGGCAGCCTGACGCAGCCCCTGTGCGTGGGCCTCATCGACGCCCTCAGCGGCCGCAACGACAAGCAGACCAACTCGGTGAGTAACGGCACGGCGACAGGCTTCCAAGGAGATCTGTTACTCCCGAATGGGGCTTTTAATGCCCCCCAAATTTGGAATTTTTAATGACAAGGGAAAATTTGAAATAGTTCAAAAAGAAATTGGAAAAATTAGAACTTTCTAGAAAAAAAGTCTGAACATTTTTTTTTTGTTGAGAAAGTTTTGAAAAGTATCTCTACAATTCCGTTTTTGGAAAAGTAAAGTCCTTAACCCCGGTTCATGACTTTGCAGACGCTGCTGCCCTACATTATATCCCGGACGCCAAGTGGCACCTCGTTTAAAACCATCAACCACTACGGACAGTCCTTGCGGCACGGTAGGTCTTTGAAACTTGTTCAACGTCGCTAATTTATGTCTTGAAACTCTCACGAAATAGTATGTCTGAGTATGTCGTCCCACTTTCTCTCTACGAAGGCTTCCGGCGATATGACTACGGGACCACAGGGAACATCCAGCGGTACGGTCATGAGATGGCCCCCAAATACAACGTGAGCAACGTGCTCGTGCCGGCCAGGCTGCACTACGGGCCAAACGACCACCTGACAGACCCGCGGGTGAGTTAGCGCTAGTTAGCGCCTGCCGCCCCACCGCACACCCGGCCGTGGTGTAGGATCGGTTGCCTACGCATCGTGTGCCCGGCGGCTGCGGGCGCGGGGCGGTGGTTCAGTCACTTGCCGCTTGTTTATCGGTTGTACCTCTATTTTGCAATCGAATAGCACAGCGCTCTAGGAGGCTCATGCGTCTCGTTGCTGTAACGTGTGCGTGTGTGTGTTTGTGGTGCACAGGACGTCATCCCAACGTGCTCTGAGCTGCCAAACCTTTTGAGCTGCGACGCGGTGGCCGACCCCCTCTGGACGCACTTAGACTTCGTCTGGGCCAAGCAGGCGCCTGAGCTTGTCTACAGGAGGGTCATCGCCGACATAAAAGAATCGAACCTCGCCGCAACAGTAGCGTGACCGCGGTCCTGAAGAACGATGTGGATTAGCGGCATAATAAATTCTATTTTCTGTGATAATGTCCCTCATGCAATTTTCTCTGTTTTGGTATATTTTAATGTCATTCCCCTTAGTTCTTTTAAGAGTTTCCACATTGTCTCTCATTTGACTTTATGTTGTCTCATTTGTATCCTGCAATTAGCATTAAGTTTAATTTTTGTCTTATGTTGTATTTCTGTCTCTTAGTATGTAAACATACTCATTGTTCCATTTGTAAGACGCTTGTTGTGATTGACGATCAGTCTTCGTTGTCTGTGATGTAATATTCTTATATTGTGATTTACTTTTTATTGAACTTCGACGTAATTATTTTATTCGTAGTGTATGTGTGCAATATTGTTTAGATGAATTGCTGACCAGTTGGACTCGGTAAGGGTAGATGGAAACAATACCACAAGACTTAGTAGGAAATAAATAAATTAATAACTTAAAAATCTTACAGCATTTCACACAATTTTTCATGAGAAGGACGCGCGTAGTGTGTGTCGTCGGTCGTCGTTCCCTCAGAGGATGTAAAACCCTGCCTGCTCGCCTTGCTCACCCTGCGCGCCCTGGAATGAGAACCGGATCATACTTCGAATAGTAGAAAAGAACACGACTTTTATTGGATCGGGTCGCCTGCCACTCTTCTCACCTGGTAATCCTGGTGACCCCAGCCTCCGAACTGGTAGCCTCCGGGCCGCCTGGAGCGACCCTGACCCTTGACGTGCTGCTGAGTGTCGTCCGTCACGCCCTTGATGCCCTTGACGCCCGCCGGTGGGCGACGGGGGCTCGTCTTGAGTCCCCACTGCATGTCGGCGACGTCGCCGCCCCACTGCAAACGGAGAGAAGGTGAGAACTCAGCCGACATAGCGATACCTCCAGACCGGACACGAACGGTTACAGACCTGGTCGAGGTAGCCGCCGTATGCAGGGACGTTGGCTGAGGCGCCAGGCCGCCTTCCCTTGACACCTTTGACGCCCTTTATTCCCTCGGACCAAGGTTCCGGCTCCCACTTCATCTGCACGCCGCCCTTGACTCCCACGTCGCCTCGGTGGCCCTTGACGCCTCCCTTGACACCCGGGGGCATGGTCGGGAGAGGCGGGGGCGGCGGAACCGTGGTGGGCTCCAGAGTCGTGTACTCGGGGACGATGTACCCTTGTGTCGTGTACCCCTGCGTCGTATCCACCTCCGGCTCAGAGGTCGTGTACTCGGGCACGATGTACCCCGGAGTGGTGTAGGCTGGTTCGGTGTACCCGGGCGTTGTGTACTGGGGGGCCTCTGTCGTCTGCAGCGGCTCATCGCACCCATCGAACGGTCTGAAAACAAAATAGCGTTCCGACTTGTCAGACCAAATCGGATCGGAGGATTCTAGGCAACGTGTTTGGGGTCCTGTCGTACCTGCAGACCAGGGTCGTGCCGCGGCTGTGGCTGCCGCCGATGCCCATGTGGACGCCGATACCTAGGCTGTCATGGTAACCCCCGTAGCCCTTGATGCCGCCCTTGACGCCACCCTTGACACCGCCCTTGACACCACCCTTGACGCCACCCTTGACGCCACCCTTGACGCCGCCCTTGACGCCGCCCTTGACGCCGCCTGGGGAGGGGCATGCCTCTACGGTGCAGATGAGCTTGGTACCAGGCCGGTAGCCAGCGGCCGCCGGGTTGGCTTGGCAAGACGAGGGTTGAGGGCGGGGTCCTGGACAAGGAGAAGACCGTCGTTCAGACGCACTACCGCGAGGAGAAAATGATCGGAACAGGCAGTTTGGCATACTCACGCCAGGTGGTGGGGTGTACGTAGTCAGTAGTCGTGGGGTAATCGGTGGTCGGGTACGTGGGGTAGGGCGTGGTGGGGTACGCCTCCGTCGGGTACGGCGTGGTGGGGTACGCCTCCGTGGGATACGGCGTGGTGTACTGCTGCACGTCGTCTGGTCCGTTCGTCGACTGCGTGTCCGGGACGTCCGGCCTAGGGTGGTAGGTCGGAGTGGTGAACTGCTCGAGGTCGGGACCTTGCGTCTCCTGCTGCCCCGGCTCCGGGCCCTGAGTAACTTGTCCCAGGTCTGGGCCTTGCGTCTCTTGACTCACATCCGGACCCTGCGTCACCTGAAACATTGCACCTTCCATTGAACAGCTCAAATTGCGTTTATATACCAACAATCAAAAGCGGTTCCAACCTGCCCGTAGTCGGGTCCTTGGTGACTTTGGCCGTAGTCAGGCCCTTGGTGACTTTGGCCGTAGTCAGGCCCTTGGTGACTCTGGCCGTAGTCAGGTCCTTGGTGACTCTGGCCATAATCAGGTCCTTGGTGACTCTGACCGTAATCAGGCCCGAGGTGAGCCTGTCCGTAGTCAGGCCCTTGGAGGACTTGTTGCTGTTCGTCCTCCAGCATCTCGTAAGACACGGGAAGGGCTGGCTGGACCACGTGCACTACTGGCTCCGGGCGAAAGTCTGTAACATCGCTACAATCAGTTCAAAATCGAATTTCGACAGAAGGACGTACACTTCAAAGCCTAGGTGCCCACTAAACTGTGTGTGAGATCAGAAAGCGTTGAAGGCAGGCGAACCAAAACACCCATATTCGAATATAGGTCAACCAAAATCGCCGACGTCATAGGCACCCAATATTTACCGTGTACTCGTACTAGTATTGTTTTGCTTACCGTCCATAGTGTAGTAGCCCCCAAATCCAGGGCTAAAGTATTGGCCCCACGGAGCACCATCACCTGCAAGAATTATTTTGTTTAGCAATCAAAATTATTTTAGTGTCTTGTTCAAAGAGAAGCCAGGAAGCCTTAATTTCTTCCCCGTCGCGTACTTGGGCGGAAGCGCCCGATCAGATAACGCGTTCTACATTTCCATTTTCGCAAAAAAAGGTGTCGACGAAGCCACTTTGCTATTTCAGTCACCTCCCCATTTACATGCTGGCGCAGCCGTGCTCGGTCCACGGTGCCCATACGGCGGCGGTGCAACGCCAACGATCGCGATGGGGAGGCACAAGAGTAGTATGCGCACTTCCTATTCATGAACGACGAGGGCGAGGCCAGGCCGCTCGACATCAGCGCGCACAGCCAGACTCCGAAAGAGGTGCTCGGTGTCGGACCAGAAAGGCATTGGAGCTTTCCACCCCCGCGCGTAACTTCCAGCACTTTCCTGACTCGGCCACCACCGGGGCTGTCATTCTGTGATTGCCTGACGTGTTGCGTTTTGCAACCACCTGCGCTCGGCCGACGCACCGATCCACGCGCCACCACCCGCGGATCGGCGCGTCAAGCCGAGCGATGAGACAAGACGGGCATGCGGAAGTGGCCGGGGGCCGAGGAGGCAGCACCGGCCACAGACCACGGCCCCTTGGGGTAGGCCATCCCGCCTGGCACGCCCGCGACGTATTGCCTACGCACCAGGCGTTCTGACCAGCTAGGAAACGGAACCCCAAAGAGCACGGCGCCTAAAGGGTAGGCCATCCCGCCTGACACGCCCGCGACGTATTGCCTACGCACCAGGCGTTCTGACCCTACAACCTACAACTTAGTCAGGAAGAGGAACCCCAAAGAGCACGTCGCCTCAGGGTAGGCCAGCCCGCCTGGCACGCCCGCAACATATTGCCTACGCACCAGGCGTTCGAAGCCTATAACTCAGCTAGGAAACGGAACCCCAAAGAGCACGGCGCCTTACAAGGGGACTTGTGCAAGTGTAAATTCCCGACATTGCCTCAAACTCGGTACATTTGTTTCTTATCTATGTTGACGACTGATAGTAGAATTTTTTTCCTGAGTGTCAATTTCTATGGTACTTTAGGGGAGCAAATAATGGAAAAAATATTGAATTTGGACCAAAAATGACGGAAGGAGGTCTCAAATCGAAAAGTGGTGGCGGAATTACCCCCCCTCCCCCCTCCACCGCTCATTTTTTTTTTTTTTTTTATTGTGATCAACCAAGTCCAAGGGCATTCAGGGATTCAGAATATGCCTTAATGGTGATGCGTCTAGGAAGTTTTCTGGGTTTGGACAATCGGTTCCTGTATGGTTGCAAGCTTCGGCGTGCAACCTTGACGAAGCGCCCAGCGAGTCGATAGGAGATGGGTTCGGCTTACCTTTGCGCAGCAGCACGCCGTGAGGCTCTGAGCTGACTCCCAGGATCACGCCGGCCACGCACAAGACCACCGCGCCCAGCCATGCGGGCGCGACGGGCACTGCAGAGACTCCAGCCATGTCCAGCAACTCCAGCTGGCCGTCACTGGCCCGCTCCAGCTGATACCCAAGCTTTATAGGTCGCAGTGATAGCCGTGATTCACTCGATTCGCGGGTTGCATCGAACTCACTGTGGCGCGTGTGTGACGGCGAAGCGCGGGAGGGGCGGGAGGGGGGAGGGGGTTCGGGCTGGTCAGGGATTTGGAGAATGGGACTCTTCCAGACTCACACAGAACAACCGTGGACCTGCTGCAAGGAAGCTGCATAGCTGCCATAGATCTAGTGTTTTAAACCAGCAACCAGCACTTCTGAGTCCATGAAAAAGTATAGGAGCAAATCTGAGTGCAAGCGCAGCAGCGGCGCATCCTCTTAAAATGCGTCGATGACCCCTTTACCCTTACAAAAAAAATGAGGGTTACAATTCATCCCCCTGGAAAGAATGCGTTTTTTTCTCTTTCTTTTTTTCGTGGGCACGGGTGAGGTGAGGGGCTTATTTTGTAATAGATTCGCCGCCTCGGCCCTCGGGACTGCTTGCTCGCGACATCCCATCGTTCCACGAACGTGCGCATTGCGCCGATTCCATGTCACGTCACAATGACGTCTCGGCATGCGTGTGTCAGCCGGCCGTGTAGAAAGAGAGAGAGAGAGTGTGTGTGTGTGGGGGG